TTCAGGAACTATTGATGAACCTTTAGGGACCATCTTTAATTGTCTATTAAGGAGGTACACCAGTAAGTCTGTTGTGCATCCTTCACTGGTGGTGCATTGCCATTTGAGAGATACCCGTAATGTTTTCTGGAGGAAATCTCGGTCTAGTAGACAAACTCCCGTTGACTTAGTGTGAGGTCTGTATTTCACCCACCATAAAGCCTGAGCGCAAATGTGCAAGGTTTTTTTTTCAGAATTCAAGCTTTTTATTCTCTACCCTAGTAAATATAGGTGCCATTCAATTTCTCCCATTTTGTTTTGTTTGCAAAAAGCACCATATGTGCAAAGTAATGTCGCCTTGGCTTGTTCTGCCAACTGAGTGCTCTGGTTGGCTAAACATCCTTCTGCTAAAAAACTGTATAATTAGATTGTGTTATTTTAAAGGTCATTTTTTATTTCTTCTAGCAAAAGCCTGCTTTCCTCTTATGAGAGCTTATCTTTTTGTTAGTGCTTTGGATTTGTTATTGTTTGCTACCTTAAACTTACTGTAGAAATGATTGCTGTAATCCACAAAAAAATTAATATTCTGGTTAAAAGCCAGGCAGTGAGTGTGAATCTCACAACAGACATAATCGAATAGTGTTTTCTTTCTTTTTTTCATTAAAGCTCTAGATACTACCTAAAATTTCAATTCTACTGTATCTGTACTTTTTTTTTTTCCTTTATTTCTCTGTGTTTGTGTGTGTCCTACTATATTTACTGCTCTCTTGTTTTCTCCTTTATATTAACAAAAGTATATTATTGTAAAGTGTTGCTGTTACCTCCACAGATACCTTTCCTGGCACATCATGTGTTCTTCTTTGTTCCTTCAAATATTTTCACCTTGCCATTCTCAAATTGTATTTTAATTTACTTATTATCTTTGAGCATAAGCTCATCTATAAGGCCTTGATTTTGTTCCCCTCCCAGCCAGGGATCTTTAACCTTAACTGACTGGTTTCTGTTGCATGACAAGATTTCCATAGCTGGATACAGCAGTGTGTTGTGTGCTCTGATACATGTTGAGATATTTTCTGGTTTTTTTTTTTAGTGCTTCGCTGTGCGATCTCTGGGCTGGGTAGAAATGGCAGAAGAAGATCTGGCTCCTGGAAAAAGCAGTGTTGCTGTGAACAATTGCATCAGACAACTCTCTTACTGTAAAAATGACATCAGAGACACTGTTGGCATTTGGGGAGAGGTAAGAATGGGGTGTACTTCTCCTCCTCTTGGAACTTCCCTCTTGTGTCATAAAACATCTTGAAAGAACAACTCTGTAAGCAAATATGTCCATGCTCTGTGTTTGGGATTTCCCTATCCTAGCTGGCACTGCCAAAAATATAAAAGAATTCAAGGAAAGTGTTGACCTTTTTATTCCAAACTGATCGGGACAGCAGATGCCACAAAGATCTCACTTTCATGTTCGCATCTGTGCTAATAGACACCTGTGCGATAACAGTGTTGGAGACACACGAGCCAAACTGTCGAAATCAGTGGAAGCCTTTCTCCTGATCAGAGGTTTGAGAGTGCTGCTTTGGAACAGCATTTTCACAGGGTTCCCAGTGACAAAAGGGCTTTAAGGAAACCCAGACTAGTGTGACCAGTGCTTCTGAAATGTGTGAGAAGATGGAGACTGATGGACAGATGGCTTATTTTAAGATGATTATTTTATCAGTGTTTCAGAAGGAAATTAATTTTATGTCATCAGTCTGTCTGTTGGTTCCTCTCCAGTAACTCTTGAATCTGTTCACCAATGTCATCCAATTTTGAAGGATGCCAAATTCCCACACATTAAGGGAAAAACAGAGCTCCCAGCTCTCCTCTTTCTTGGTTTGCTGATGGGTCAGTACACCTTCATCAACTGAACCATGCAAGCTCTGTGCTTATTTCTGAATTGGCAGCAAAGAGAGGATAACGCTGTGGGAGCTTGGGGGAAACACGAAGGAAGCTAGAGGTACTGTGCTTTGGAAAAGAGATGTGCTGGGGACAGATGGAGTGGAAGGTGTGGAGGGATCAGTAAGTGAAACAAGAAGAAAGGAAAAGGTGAGGTTGTAGTGATGAGAGGACATAGGAGACCAAACTGTAGAAAAACATCTTCGTTATTTGATTGTTCATGAAATGACTTAAACTTCAGCCAAATCAGCCTCTCTCCTGCCATGTTTTCAGGAGGGTTACACTAATGTGGATTTACTACATGAGATCTGAATGCAAAAGTGATGTAAGAATAAACGTTGTCACCTCCACTTGTCTATTTCAGTAAAAATTTCAGGAAAAATATCTGTCAGTCTCCCAAGTTACTGTTACAGTCTAGGGCTTGAGTCCAGTGTCCTGGCTATGACTACAGCAATGTGGAGATTCTTCAGAGGGGGAACTGGGAGAAGGAGCCTGTTTAAAATTGAAGTGATGTTTCAAGGGACATATTTAGAGTGCCCTATCTATTTCAAGTAATTTCAGAAGGCTTTTTCTATCTAAGAAATGTATTTTGTATGTATAAATGAGCAAAATAACATTGGTCTCCCTTTTTCTTACTTCTGGGAACAGTTTTATTTAGTTAATATAGCTAGACAAGCAATTAGAGATGTGTCAGTCATGGACTTTGGACTTGCTGCTGACCCCATGAGGAAAAAAAAACCCCATTCTCTTTACATCTGTGTAATCCCATCCATTTTTCAGATGACAGAACTTTGATCAATTTGAAATATATTGTTTACTTTGAAATCATGTGCTTTATTCTGGTTTAAGAATAAATGTTCACATTTTTCCATATTTCTCTCTGTCAGTCCCATTGTTCTTTGTTGGAAACCCTTGCAGGTCTTCAAGCCAAACTGGTGAAAAGTTCTGGTCCTCTTGAATGGAAGTTTTAATTAAGAATGCTGTTCATAAAAAAATTTTAAAAAATCAGCCTGATAAAACAAGAGCGACACTGTGCTTGAATAGGTGGCCCTTGAAGTAAATTGTCTTATTGATTTTAAAAGAAATCATTACAACCACATTTTTCTGCTGGCAATGTAATGCTTCAAGAGTGATTGGAAGAGGCATGGTTTAGAGATGAATCTGAAAAAAGCGTGCTTGTCACTGACACGTCAGATGGAGCACATACAGCAGAAATCTATTATAAAGCTAGAACTGATGACTGCAGATAAAGGTTTTAAGATTGCCTAAAGATTTATTTTAGCTAGAATGTAATGAAAGTGAAACTGGGACTAAGACCACCCCCAAGTTTTCATGATTTAAAAAACACAAAACAAAACAGAAAAAAACCCCACACCCTGCATAAAATCCTGACCCTGCAGAAGCTTTGTCACTGGCTTTAATGTGGCATTCCATGCCTTCCACTTCCCTCCAAAAGAAATTCCCTGTAAATATCTAATTTCCACAGTTCTGTAAAATCTAGGAAGAAAAACACAAGTCATCTGTTTGTGTTGCTACTTTGCCATGCATTATATTCCTGAACATTACAAAAATCACTTCCATGATACGTTGTTGCCATTGACCTATATACCACAGTATATAACACTTCCCTGAAAGACTGAGTCTTTCTTTCCTTCATTCACTCTCCCTGCGTGGCTCTTCCCACAAGAGCCTTCCTCATCTTGGACCATCAGGTCTCTGCAGCTCTTCAGCAGTCTGAGACATTGAGGCCTATGTTCAAGCTGTCTGTCTGAATTATTTCTTCTTGCTCTCTGCAGTGTTTTCATCTCTAAAATGGCTTTTGTATAAGACGGCAACAAAACTTAGCAAAATATATTGCTTTTGGCTGCAGCCAAGCTATCCCTTGAGCATTTTAAGAGTAATTTTCTGTGACTTAGGTTGCTTATCTGCGTATTCTCCAATCTTTTCCAGCTAATTTGGATTCAGTTTTATTATCCTAGTCCTGGTGTATTTTGCATGATGCACAGATTTTACCTTTTTGTAATAACGTCCTTCTGGAACAAATATTTAAGTAGAAAATGGGTCCAAAAAGCAATCTTTGTGACACTCGGTAACATTCTTCACACAATCTGTTTACTGCTTCTGACCTCCAAGTAAATTTCTTGTGATGACTCTGTTTTCTGTTTGGTTTCCTTCATTATTTTGGTCTGCCTGGTGCCATCCTGGCTTCTGTGGTTTCTTTCCCATGTTTCTTTTTCTGCATGCCACAAGCAGTTCAGTGCTGCTGATTCACCCGATTTACATGCCTGGTTATTGCAGCTGCATCTGTTTCTGCTTCTCTAGGAGCAGCCTATATGTCTCAGCTGTACTTTTTCCATCGGTCAAAATGTTCTTGTGTTGGCATCACATATACCAGCCTATGTCCCCTTTTGTCCCACACCCCTCTCGGTGCTTGCGCTGCCAGCTCTGTGTCACAGCTCCCCTCTGAATCCCTGTTAGGAGACGTGGGGGTGGGAGAGGTGAGCGTCAGTGCCCTTGCTGCCTACCCTGGCAACCCTGGAAGCAGGCCCTCCCAGGGTGACATGACAGACACAAAATTAGACGTCATTAAGACTTGAGCTACTGTAACCAAGCGTGAAGCAGGTTTCTGTGTCACTGAGGTGAAGAAAAAGGTCATTTTTTGAAACATTTGTCAGTAGGAAGTCAGACCCTTTCCATTCTTTCTGTTCATTTAAAGATTCTGGCACAATATAGAGGGAACAAATTACTCTATATTTAGCTGATAGTTCTCACCTTCTTCTTATCAACAGGAGCTTGTTTTACCTCTGGCAATATGTCCATGATCATTTCCATGGAATCTCGCGGTCTGCAAAGTAGATGTACAGCTTCTGAGAAGAGAGCTACTAGATGTGATAGAAGCGGCAGCAGACCTTTTGCAAATGCTAGACATAGGAGGTAGCTTAGCATTTGTGAATTAGCATCAAAAGGAAAATTGCCTCTAAATTTGTTTCCTCTAAGGGGAGAAAGCATTCTCCTCATTCTTACATGCCAGAAGACTTAGGGAGAAATCCTGGCTCCAGGATTCTGCAGGCACCAGCAGAATTCACATTCATGTCTTAAATGCTAGGGTTTTCCCTTTAATTAATCTTTCTTCAAAGAGCATTGTATAAATCCTTTGACATGTACAAATTACTTTATGTTCCCATGATCCATTGGTTAAAGTTTATGGCAACAAAGCACATTGTTTGAAGGAAAAAATTCTGCCTTAAGAGTACAGGTTTTGATGTAAGTTTTTACTATTAAGACAGTTCTTGACTTCTCATATATTGATCTCACCTTGATCCCAGTCGGTTTGAGAGGGGGACATACTGTGTAACTGTACTTTGTCTGGAGTTGCAGGGCAAAGACATGTACCTAATACTGGAAAATGACATGCTGAACCTGATTGACCCCATGGACCGCACAGTTCTTCATTCACAGCCCATTGTGAGCATCAGAGTCTGGGGAGTGGGTCGTGACAACGGCCGGTGAGTCTTCGCTCTCCTTATCCCACTTGACTTGATGCTGTTTCTGCTTGCTGATACAGAGTACGCATACACCTGGAGCAAGTTAGTTATCAAACCTATTCATTTGATTGAGTAATTGTGTCCCAGGGGCTATGAGAGGATGGGTAAATTCTTCTTTTTCTTGCTGGTGTTACTTTTTAAAATCTCTGCTTTTCATAGTTTATCATTTATATGCTGTTTTGCTGCACCTGTATTGGGCAAACCTTTCAGATGAATTCAGCCAGGTGCATAAAACTGCACACGCAATGTTATTTTGCTTCAGGTGTATATAATACTTTTTTATATAAAACCATGTTTTCAAATCTGTCCTGTAGTATGCTTCTCCTGGCTATGTGAAAGCATGTCTCCCTGCTGGTCCACGTTAAATGCGCTACTTATACTCTGACTGTATGCATTTGTTTCCACTTTCTTGACATACTTGATTTGATGGAGAAAAAAGTTGGATTAAGGGCAATTATGATTACTAAAAGATCTTGATGCAAGAAAATTCCTATGGGTATTGCAGAAAACTAAGGTTTGTCCCTGAAACCTGACTGCCTGCGAGCTGAAGTTCTTCCTTGTGGTAGGGAGCAACCAGGAGTGCATACTAAAGGCCTTCCTGCCCTGCAGGCAGTCTTTCCTTAGCTTGCCCTCCTGACTGGACTTCTTTTGGTAGCATCCTCCTTTGTCATGTAACATTGCTGTGGGAACAGGATTGTGAAGGTGACTTATTTAGAGCAGGACAGCGAGCTATCTCTCTGTCCCGTTGAGCATTTTGATCTATCAAAAACGTTTCCATTCACATTGATTAATTCCAGGATCTTCGGGCAGTATCCATCCTGACACGTGAGCAGTAAGGATTGAATCATGCTGGTGAACTGCTGGTTTTTGTGACCGTGCTTGATTATTGAGATACTTGGAATAATAAGGATGGGGTTTTTTTGTCTCTGACTTTTGATGGGAAATGTCATTTTGGACCCGAAAAACCTTTCCTTGTAAAATATTTTGTGAAACTTCTTTAATCCCCCCAAACGTTCCTGATTATCTCTGGCTAAATTTCCAAAGAGAAATGTGATATGTGTTTCTGTGACCCAATTCCATCTTTCTAAATTTTTTACTTCTATAAATGACTGATGGTTGTATTTGGTGATTGTGGGTTTTTACTGTTTTTCACTTCCATTGGTGCAGATTTGTGAGAGATCTAAAAGGGGCAAATCCAGTTTGAAATGGTGGGAAGTAGAGAGGTTTTAACTTCTTATGAATAAACCATTACAGTGCTTTGGCTCAGAAAATGAGTGCATTGCACATTTCCCTTCAAGTCAGATTTTGTAGTAGCTTGCTTTGGTCAGGAAATAAATAGAGCATCTTAAGGGGCACCTAAATGTGATGCAGCTTTACAGAGTAAAGGAAGCTAGCTTTGCTTTTCATTTTTTTTTTTTAAGTATTTACAGTTCTTTTTTCAAATATTTACATTTCTTTGGAAAATAAAATCATTCCATTATGTTGTTTATAAAATAAGATGAGTCACATTTCTCCAGACTGGATAAATAACTTCTCCTAAAGACAGAACTGGTCATCGAAATGTGGACATTGAAAGGGAGCATTTCAGAGAAATGTTCCTTTTGCAATCATGCGGCACCAAGACTGTCATAAGCTTTTGGTGAAACCTATCCAGGGATGCAAGGCAATAGGAAACTCTCCTAGATAAGTAAAAGCCCCATCAGTAGGACAGGATTTGGTGGGAAAGGTTGTGTACGTGCAGGTCGTTCTGTTCTGACCTGCCATGGTATCCCAGGACAGTTACCAAGAGCTAAGTACAGGGCACAGGAAATACCATCTCTGATCCCAGTCCTGCCCGGTTTCGTGCTGTATCTGAGGACCAAAGATGAATTCCAGTTCTGGTGAGACTTCTGCAGAAACTCATGTCTCTGTTAAGAAAAATATTGCACTTACGGAGTATGTGGGTGAAGTACACATCAAAGTTTAAAAACAAAACAAACCCAGTGATCTCCCTCTTGGTCATGAAAGGTAGAAGCTTCCTGTACTCTTTGCCTAAAAAGAGATTTTATTTGTAACATTGACAATACAGAGAACCTAGTAGAGCAAATAAACTAATCTTCTTCTCATGTTTCTACTATCAGAAGAGGGAATTGGCCTTTCTGTGTTGAAACGGAACATTTCTTGTTTCCAGAGAACATGACTTTCCTTGATTGGTTGCTGTAAACAACAGCAAGAAATAATTTCTTGAAGGTTTAATATATAAACACACCATCAAAAACAGCCTTACTATTTCATTTGCTGGCACAGTAATGTTCTTAGCCATTTTTATTGGAATCTGGGGTTTTTAATCATAAGAAGTTTGATTTCAGAGCTTTCCTATTCTTAGACCTTCATAAGAACTTTGATAGGTGCTTCTACAGAAATCTTATGTCCAGTATGGCTTTCAGGACTGGAGCCCATTCTTTTTGAAATTTAATTTGTTTATTGACCCACTTTAAAAAAATAAGATTGTAAGTAAAACAATGTACACATTATTTGTAAGTAAAGTCAGACTGTATGTGATGTTAAATAGCAGGTAGAAAATCCAAAAGACAAGCAGAAAGAACACACTTACAACTGAGTAGTTGGATGTAGTGTGTTTAGGGCATAGAGAGGTTCAGTATGGAAAACATGCTTTGAAAGGATAGCATAAATAATGTAGAATTTGCTGAAGAAGTACCAAAAGACAAGAAAAAAGAGAAGCTGAGCTGAGAAAATGATATTGTTGAGCTGGAAATTGCACTGTATCTCTTTTCACGTGTACCTTAGCATGCAGTCCTTGGGCTTATCGTGGTAAAATTACATATCGGTCCTGAGGTGAGAAACACCAGAGCCATTCACTGATTATAAAAGCAGCTTTCCCTGATTATGAGTTTGCCATCATCAGGAAAAAGTGAGAGGAACGCATTGCAGCTTTAGTGGATTAATTGTCCAGGAAGTTGACAAAATCCCAGTTCTGGGATGAAGCTCTTCCAGAAGTTGTTGCACCTGAATGTTGTTAATTAGCTACATCTTCTGGTCCAAGAGCCTGGATAATAAAATATATTGGATTTATTGGGAAAGGCAGTGTTTAAATTTTACAATATTGTAGAAATGTATATTTTCCTCTATTTTGAGGTATTTGAACCCCATAATGATCTGCAGGCCCTCCTTTTTAACTGTATTTTGCTTGTAGTATTTTATTTGGGTATATTTTGCTTTGGAAGATGAAAAGGTTTTCTAATGACACCTGACCAGATGATTTTCTAAGCTGTGCCGTAATGAAAGATTGATGAAATACAGAGATCTACTGATGAAAGTTTAATCTGAGGATGTGTCTGCTAACTCACCTCAGGCAGAAATGTCTTCCAAGAGGCTGAAATCACTCTCCTCATACGTTACACTACTATCTTGACCTCAAGAGTTACTTTATTTCAGACAGTTCTGTGAGAAGCAGAGGCTTCATCGTTTTGTTGACTTAGGCTGTGTGGTGATTATGTGTTTTGAAAGGTAGCATCCCTTGATTTCAATTAATCAGACAGTAAAATATGTTTGACCTTAAGAAAGGCCAGAGTGCTCTGATAAAATCGTGAACAAAAGCAGGTTTCCACAAGAGAAGTTGGTGGTTATGTATGTGTATACGTGTATATACGTGTAGACTCTGAGCACCTGTGTTTGATACGTATATATGGGCATTAAAGGAAAATAAATGTATCTGTCCATCTTTTCAGCAGACTGTTTCTTGGGTGATGTCCTGTGGGTTTTTTAACAGTAAAAGCCACTGTACTGTTTGTAGAGTTTTCCTCTCCTACTGTACTGAAACCAGAGTCTTGATGATTCATTTAATATTATTTGTTAATAAGAAAAATCCTCGTACTTGCTTAAATAGCTTGATTTCAAGATGAGTAAGGTCATTGTCACGTGGAGGATTTGTGGTATCACAGGTATACAGTGAGTAATTGTCAGTGCTATGTTTGCTTCTTAACAAGCAGCCCATGGCATGGTTTTTTCCTGGTCTTTAAAAGCATGTTGGAAAATATAGCCTACTGAAGCTATAAAAGCATTGTTCTTTTCACTTGCGAGCTGCAGGACTGTACATTAATCATTCCTCAGGTTGGGTTTTGTCTCCCCTTCTCAACTGCTGGTGCATGCCCTTTGCTTTCTGAGCAGCTCACTAACAAGGAAGAGAGAAAAGGTAATGGCCCATCAATTTTGTAAAAGAGTTTCTGTTAGCACATTTCCCTGAATCCTTCTTTATCTTCATTGCTCTTCCACCAATCCAAAGCCTGCCTCGACCTCTATGGGACTTTAATTGCCTAAGAGATCACGGTTCCTTCTGTCGTGGTGTCTCCATACAACAGCAGTATATTCCAGCTGAAAAATTCAGCCGTCAGCTGGCCAGGAGGGCTGTGGCTGGGTTCAGGAGACAGCTTTGATGGGACTAAATATGCAACCAGTTGCTGGACGGCACAGGCACCTGGCATGTGGGACAAAACACGTAGCACGTGTCTTTGGTCATCCACTAGCTTTGTCATCACATAGCCCAGGTTTTGTTTTTTCCTGTAAAGTTTGTGTGTTTCCCTGGCAGGCTGAGGAGGGAGGGAGGTTGCTTTTGCTTCTCAAGTGGTAGAGAGGCAGATTCTCCGATCTTGGCGTTTTCTGATTGTAGGCTCTGTGACTAGACAGTGTAAAAGCATTGTGCTCCCTCCTCTGCCCTAATAATGCCTGTTTTGGCAAGTGGTGGTGGTGGTGGGGATCTCTTCGTCTCTGTGGGTGTCCATTGCCCTGCTGCTTTGAACCACTGCTGGTTTTCTGCTGCTGAGACATCAGGGAATAAAATGAGGCTGGGAATCAAAAAGGGGAGAAAGGCGGAGAGGAAGAGAGCATGCACCAAAGATGAGGCTCAATCATTACAAAGGGACGACAGACTGCTAAATGGATAGATGCCTCAAGTCAGATGGATATAAT